CAAGGTTATCATGCACATCCCTTGGGTCGTTAAGCATCAACTCTTGATTAGGAAACCTCAAAGCATGTTAACCCAACTCTAGTCCATCAAGGTTATCATGCACATCCCTTGGGTTGTTAAGCATCAACTATTGATTAGGAAACCACAAAGCAATGTTAACCCAACTCTAGTCCATCAAGGTTATATGCACATCCCTCGGTTGTTAAGCATCAACTCTTTGATTAGGAAACCTCAAAGCATGTTAACCCAACTGTAGTCCATCAAGGTTATCATGCACATCCCTTGGGTCGTTAAGCATCAACTCTTGATTAGGAAACCTCAAAGCATGTTAACCCAACTCTAGTCCATCAAGGTTATCATGCACATCCCTTGGGTCGTTAAGCATAACTCTAGATTAGGAAACCTCAAAGCATGTTAACCTAACTAGTCATCAAGGTTATCATGTACATCCCTTGGGTCGTTAAGCATCAACTCTTGATTAGGAAACTCAAAGCATGTTAACCCACTCTTGTCCATCAAGGTTATCATGCACATCCCTTCGGTCGTTAAACATCGACTCTTGATTAGGAACCTCAAGCATGTTAACCAACTCTAGTCCATCAAGGTTATCATGCACATCCGCATGTTTTTTAAATTAAACAAAAACGTTAATATCTAATTGTGTGAAAAGAATAAAAGATTGAGAGCATTGATTTCAACGATATAACCTCAAGAGCATGATAACCCAACTCTAGTCTATCTAGGTTATCATGCACATCCCTTGGGTCGTTAAGCATCAACTCTTGATTAGGAAACCTCAAAGCATGTTAACCCAACTCTAGTCCATCAAGGTTATCATGCACATCCCTTTGGTTGTTAAGCAATCAACTATTGATTAGGAAACCTCAAAGCATGTTAACCCAACTCTAGTCCATCAACGTTATCATGCACATCCCTTGGGTTGTTAAGAATCAACTCATGATTAGGAAACCTCAAAGCATGTTAACCCAACTCTAGTCCATCAAGGTTATCATGCACATCCCTTGGATCGTTAAGCATCAACTCTTGATTAGGAATCCTCAAAGAATGTTAACCCAACTCTAGTCCATCAACGTTATCATGCACATCCCCTGGGTCGTTAAGCATCAACTCTTGATTAGGAAACCTCAAAGCATGTTAACCCAACTCTAGTCCATCAAGGTTATCATGCACATCCCTTGGGTCGTTAAGCATCAACTCTTGATTAGGAAACCTCAAAGCATGTTAACCCAACTCTAAGTCCATCAAGGTTATCATGCACATCCCTTGGGTCGTTAAGCATCAACTCTAGATTAGGAAACCTCAAAGCATGTTAACCCAACTCTAGTCCATCAAGGTTATCATGCACATCCCTTGGGTCGTTAAGCATCAACTCTTGATTAGGAAACCTCAAAGCATGTTAACCCTACTCTAGTCCATCAATGTTATCATGCACATCCCTTCGGTCGTTAAACATCAACTCT